TCACCACGTTCCGGAGGCTCATTCTGATAGCAAAACGAAAACTCTTGCATCAGACTAGCACACTGACATGCATGCTTGTACCCTATAGGTGTACAAGTCTACCATTCTTACCCTGGGGAAAAAGGAAACAATTACCCCCAAAAGGGGTGGCCATAAGCAGGAGAATAACCACAAGCGATACTGCTGGTTTAGGCGTTTCTTCTGTTCTGCTGATGGCTGAGCCATTTGTGATCTCCTAAGTGAAAGACAAAGGGTACCCTCGGATGACGGAGAAAACAGAAGGACCACAGTTTCATTCATGAACTGTTGACATTGTCAACTGAGGCTTATGTTGGATCCTGATGCTTTGGAGACTCGTTTAAGTAAGAGCAGATGAATCCCCGCTTGTCCTCCTTGGGAGGATATCAAACTGTCAGACAGGCGCAGACATTGTAGAGGTTCAGTGGTTGGATCATGTCCCCACATCTGAATCCATCTAATGTGAAATGCTGGTCACTAAAATGCCAGTCAGACTGAACAGTCTCACTCTTTAGACTTTAATGAAAATTCACAGGTTTTAAAAATTTGTCTCTGGAAATGTAAACAAACATTTCAAAATCTAAAAAGATCCTGTTAATGAAACTCTACAAACCCCAAAAAGGAAAATTATGGCATTGTTTATTATATTATAATAGTAAAGAAAAAGATAAATCAAGAAAACGATGAAGGATTATCCACGAAACCCCTTCACACATTTCATATCATTTGTTGTACAAAAAGACACAAAATATAAAAACCATGGTACAAGCCCAGAAAATCCTGTCTGTCCGTGTATCCCAAACACTAGACACATGTAAATACCACAATATACATAAGGCAGTGTTATCCTGCAGAAAATTAAAAGGGGACAAGTGGCTTGTGTAGTTAGTTGCATAAAGAATAGTCATGCATTACAATGTAGTAGTTCAACGTAGGGAGATAATTCTAAAAAAATAAACATAGACATGTCAGGTGTAAAATGCTGTGATTATGAAATACTTACACTTGCAGAGCATTCACGTCCTGCTTTGATTGAAATGACTTCAGTTTGGCAAAGCAATGCACACTGGGATTTCCTTATCAGCAGGAAATTTCATCTATAATCTCAGGAGATCTCAGGGAAAGGCATTTTCCTGCCCTGAAATGATGTGTATGGTCACATGTCCTAGTCACATGTCTAGTCACATGTGCCAGAAATGCATGAAGTAAAAGGAGAGCTAGTAATCTGCCCTTAGTAAACATGGCCATTGTCAGAAGATCGAGGAAGAAAAGAGAAATAAGGTATGCAAAGAATATAAAGCCGGCAATTATCTAGAAGTATGTGTTTGTAGATTGTCATTACTAAACATTTCTAAAGGTGTGCTTGCTGTTATTTTAAAGATATGGGCAATTGTCCGCTTTAATTCAGGACCTTATGCCAAGGCCACGTGTATTTGCTAATTCCCGCTTGATTGACGGCTAACACATCCGAATGTTTAGACTGATATCTGTATTTCTGTTTATAACCCTGCAGACTAAATATCTCAGTTACTTGTTTTCCTCTTTCTATCTTTTTTTTTTTAATTTTGCAATAAAAAAGAAAACTAAAAAAAAAAAAATCACAGCAGGCACCTAACTTTTGAAGTTTCCTCTAGTTGTTATCAATGGAGCTAGCTCCTAAAAAAAACAAATCTTGCTGGCTCCTGGAGTATATATTATATCCAGTGTGGGGGTTTTAAAATATATACCCTTGTATATATTTTACACAGTGTTGTTGCTATTGGATATGGCAAAACGTACGTGACAGGCCAAGTGTGTGATTGTAGTCATTTACTTACTATTTATCATGCAACTCCACAAGTCCCTATGTGACCACTGTGACATTACTGCTATTCTGATATTTACATGTGCCTTCTCTTTTTTCTTTTGATACAAAGGAGAATGCCAGAATTCTCCTTTTGGGTTTATAGTCACAAACAGGATCTTTTTTACATTTTTTTCAAATGTCTGAGGTTCGGAGACTCCGAGTCTGTTAGGACCTAGAAAGTCGTCAAATTTATGTGCAAGAATAATTCTTGTCATTTATTATTTTTAAGTCAACATTAACTTACGAACACCGTCTAAAATGTGAGCAGCATTCATAATCCAACATAAACATATTTTGCAATTGGATTTACAGTGATCCATCATCCTCTGAGACTGTACTAAACACCGCTTCAGCAGTAAAACATCCCTGGAAACTGGCAACTATGAGACCAACTAGCAAATGTACATTTTTAATCCGTCCACAAACAAAAAAAGAAGAGTGCTTTGGCATGCGGCTGTGTACTCATGCTGCTGCCAAACCTGTCAGTGGCCAGATTCATTGTATAACATGCAGTGATATCTGTGTGGGAAGTTGTTTTGAATCTGACATACTCGGAGCTCCTGAAGGCAGCTTTCTGCTGAAAGGTCAGAGATTGAGCCCTCACTTACATCTATATTTTAGAGTCCAATTAGGGATTCCTGCGGCAGGAATCCCTAATCTGCCGTTTACAAGCGGCAGCTTTCACCCATTCAAGTTAATGATCGGGTGACAGCCGCTGCATTTGAAGGTGGCAGAACGCTGGCACACCGCATGTAATTGTATGTGACATGATTATATGCGGTTAGGAATCAATCACTATCCTTAGACGAGAGATCGATGCATCCAAGGACAGTGATCTCATCCTAATCGCATGTAATTGTATGCGGTGTGCCAGAGTTGTGCCACCTTCAAATGCACCTGATCAGTAACTTGAACGGGTGACAGCTGACGTTTGTAAACGGCAGATTAGGGGTTCCTGCTGCAAGAAATCCCAAGTTCCTGACGCAGGAATCTCTAATTGCACCTAAAGTATAGGTGTGAATGAAGCCTTAGAGTATGAACGCAAAGAGTAATGGCCTTTCCTCCGCGGTTTGCAAAGCGTTTCATAACAATGTGACGAGGCTAAAACTCATTTTACTCTCCTCAGCATATCGTATTATACCCTCCACCTCGGTATTAGAGCAATATAGGAAAAACACACACAGACTTGAAGAAGGAAGGAAATTGTCAATTCACCACAACAAAAGTACATTTAGTGGTGGTTTTATGATAGTCATTTCAGATGGACTTATGTGCTTTAACTTCCTGTAATGACTTTCTACCCAGAAACACAAACTGCTGTAAATAACATGACTGCTAAGAAGTCTCTCTTATCCGGGACACTGAGAAACTCCAGTCGACCAGGTTTCTGGCTTCTTTCTTGCACTCCCTTATATTGGAAGAAAGAAGTATTTATTGTTTGAAGATCATATAGTAAAGTGGCCGTCAAATTTTGTGGAAATGCCCAAACGTGTCCACGCCACAGAGTGACACATACAATAAGTGAAACCACAACCATCAATAGAAGCAGTGGCTGAAAACCAGAATAAATCCAGCTATCGAGTCACTTAATACAAACCCACAGAGATAAAGTGCAACTGAAGCTATAACCTTTGTTTTGTTTTATTCCAAGGGATAGGGAAGAGCGGGATTAGAAGACCTGATTTCGATTGCTGCTTGTGTCCCTGTTAGGGGGATTTCACCCTCCCAAATTTTAGGTTGTCATCAGAACAGAAATAAATGGGAAATATTCCAATGGGGACACTAGTTCTGGCGATCCTGCTGACCACCAAGGATTTCCTCTCACTTCCTGTTGTGGCGATTGGATAGGACGTAAAGGAAAATCTCCCCAATGGGACACAAATGGTGAAAAAAAAACTGGCAGGTGTTATAAGCCTCCTGTACTTTATCCAAAAATGAAAAAAAAAATGGCTTCAGTTCAACTTTAAATTCCACTGGAGAGTCACAACAAAGATGGCTGTAAAGATTCTAGTGGATGATCTACAAATTATTCCAGCACAACAAGAATAAGGAAGCTCAACCATGTAAAAATCTCACATCAAGAGTCACATCAAAATTTACTTTCAGGTAAACTCAATTATAGTTAAAAAAACAAAACTATAAGTTTCACTTTTACGGCTAGTTCACACCAGCCACAGTGCGTTTCCGGCCCGACCGGACCACAGGCATTGATGTGCCTTGCATTCCCGTGTGTCCGATCGCATTGCGGCCGGAGGGCGTGACTGCTGTGCCATTCACTTCAATGCACCGCCATGCCCCCTTCCGTCCCACAACAAAGTGAGCCGGCCGCAATGCGATCCACTGCGTTCCGGCCAGAATCGGTCCGGAACGCACTGTGGCTGGTGTTAACTAGCCCTTAGTCCTGTTCACACTTGTGCGTCGGCACTTTCATGCCGTTTTAGCATGTGTTCACATGTTTTAATGCGTTTTTCACGGGTTATTTTTGTTTTGGCCAATGATGGTAAAATAAGGTAAAAGTTGCTAGGGGTGGGGACCTGCTGCCATACACTAAGGGCTTATTCAGTGCATCTAAGTGCAGACACCCAGACCCGCATGGATGTGCAGGTTCGGGTGTACGTGTGACCGTGTGTAATTGCGTGCAGCTGCGTCCTCCCATAGGGAAGAACACACTGCTGTGCGCAATTACATGCAGTGCCTGTCCCTTCCGGCATCGAGTCTTCTAATGCATCTGACATGCATCTGAATGAGCCCTTAAACACACAAAAATTCATGCTACATGCGTTGTACATGAGTTTCCACTAAAATCTATGAGGCTAAAAATGCATTGTTGAGCACAAAAGGAAGCCCCTGCACCTTTCCAAATATTGCACTGCATCATGTCGCATCAATGTGAACGGGCACCATAGAGAATAAAGTAATTTCCATTGTCATGAATTGTAGCACAACTGAACATGCACAATAAATCAGGGGCTAAGCAGAGCACAGGTGCTGCGGGAGACATTTTTAGAGCAGCCTGCATTCCTAAAGGATACAACTGTGCAAATGCCCTACAAAGTGACCACACAGCAATGTTAGTGAAGCTAAACTTTATTCATGAGGACAATCTGAAATACAACTTAACATTGAGGGAACTCACCTTTTCCTTAGACTTGAACTGCCTCTTGAAATGTCCTAATGTTGTCACAGAAAATGTGAAATTCAGACATTATTTCATTAGCTGAAACAGAAAACAGGAGAAAGCCTCATTAAAACATTCCTCTGACTTCTGTAACCATTTCGATTTTAATAAAAATGTAAGCGGAAGCAAACTGATTGGTGGGGGTACATCCTTCCACATTATGACACACACACCTAGCTCCTGGTGTGCTGTCCTCCAGCAATGACGGGTCCAGGATCCAGTCAATGCTGCGTCCCCCCCACTACGGCCATCTCTGCCACCGCTTTTTCCGGGTCTCATGGTGATCCTTTTCAGCCATTGGGCAGCCGCTGTTGATGTAACTTCTGCTATCCCATGCTCTTGGCTTGGTTCTTGGCATGCTGAGAATAGAGCCGGGATGTACACTGCATGGTGAATTAGCCACGTGGCATACACCAGGGTTCCCAAACTGAAAGAAGCAATTTCAGGGAGATGCTCTATTCATTTCAGTGAGGTGCCCTCTCCATTTTATATGAATATTTTTGGGTTGTGGAATGAATCATCTGAATTTCCATTATTTCCTATGGCGAAATTCGCTTTGATATACAAGCGCTTTGGATTACAAGCATGCTGCCGGAACGAATTATGCTCGTAAACCAAGGTATTACTGTAATAAAAAGACATCATAGGAATGCATAGCTAGATTGCTATGCAATGCAGTCTAGCAGCCAGAAGGGAGCCAGAGGGACCAAGGATCAGGTAAGTAAATCTGCTTTGAGTCTCCTAGACAAAATGAGAACCTGACCCTTGCAGTGTGGGGGTAGCCCCTCTGCAAGGGTAAGTTTGTGATTTTCCTGGAGTTCTCTTTCGTTTCAGCAACATAAAGGCTTTTTATAGTTTTTCTGAAATGATAAAAGCCTTGTGTTGTGTAGCCATCCTAGATACCGATAAAGCTTAGTGGAGCTCTTTAAAATCATCTGATTTGTTCATACAACACATTAAACATTAGCGGATGCAGCTTATTTCCCGACGATGTGATTGGATTTAGCAGCATTGAGCAGCGAGATTACCGAACTCGTCAAGCTTTGTTTTCAGAAGTGTGTCCGGCCGAGTAGATGAAGGCACATGTTGAAGCATAAACAAGCAAGCACTGTTCACCACATCGGCCTCACAATGCAGAGCTTGCAGCAAGTGCCGTGATCAGGGGCTCTGCCAAGTGCTCAAGTGGCATCTTATTTCACCCACACAGCTCCACATGCACAAGTCCGGCTTACAAACCATTGATTGGCTCAGAGCTTCTCCTGGATAAACAAACAGCAGCATGACGCCATTCATTCTTCTGTTGCACAGCACTGCAATAGCAGGCTTTTTGCAGAGGTTACAATGGCTACATTATGATATTGCTCGAAGAGCTTCATTTGCAGCAGAGGATGTCACGCTAGGCCCACGGTAAAGGGGAACTCTTTATGGATGAAATTAGATTATCAGCATTTGGTGTGTGTTTTTAGAATGTATTATTATTATCGTTATTACTATAATTATCATTATTGGGCCTGCAACAGCACCTGCAATCAAGGTTGGAAACTCCTTCATAACACCCGAGAAGCTTTTTAGCAGACCGAGTGACCAGAGGTATGCTGGATCAAATTGCATCATGTGTAAATGATTGCGTGTTGTCCAAAACCAAAAGCAGCAAGCCATTGTATGAAGCCTTCATCTACAGTATGAGGTTTGTGTTTGCTACTTATAATAAAAACAGACAAATAGTTCAATAGTTGAACTCAATTGATATGGATTTTTTCAGCCTACATAACTATGGAAACTGTCATGGCTACAGAAAAAGTCAAAAAACAAGACGCAGGCAAGCAAGTCAATACTGTAGTTATTCACTTTACATATTTATGACCTCGTTTTGCATTTGCATGGGTTACCACCTTCCTCCCTTGCAGCACTGGGGACCAGGCTGCATTCCAGCCCTCACTTGGACTGCATTACATCTGCATGTTCTCCCTGTATGGGTCCTCCAACAATCCAAAACTATACTATACTGTATGGTAGGTCCACCGGCTTCTTACCAAACTGGCGCTCCTATGTGACAAGGGTACCAACATTTGACTGTAAAACTGACCATGCATCAATAGCATTTTGTTTGAAAAAAAAAATCTGTTTTCAGGTTTGTTCGACTCTCTAATAGGGTCAACTAATAGGGTCAAATCAACAAACAATTTTGAAAAAAAGCCACAGGATGGAAAACTTTTCTCAAAAAATAAAAATTCTAACAGTAAATACGATTTTCACTTGCAAAGCTCCATTCATTTCAAAATGTTAAAACCAAAACAACATTTCAAATGACATTCATCTCTGATAGCATTATCAAATGTGAAATGATGAGATTCTACTAGTGTATGGTCAGCTTTAGGAACTAATGTCAATATCTGCATGCAGAATGTGAGGCCCTGCTCAGTAGATCACTGCCATAACCAACTCCCAACTGTCCTTTTTTTGAAAATAAAAAAAATCCATATTTTAGGAGCAGATACTCGACTACCTCCATATCTACCCTTATTTTAGGTCTCCAGATCTTTATACATAAAAGGAGTTCTAACTAACTGCTCAAACTCTAAAATACATTTTGTATTTTCAAATGATTACAGTGGTATGAAGCATCATTGTGTTATGAAAAGCCCCACTGAGGACCTATGTCATCTTGTCAACGGTGCTTTCTACATCATTGAGAATCATCAACCGTCAGAAGATCTGAAGAAGACCCAGGCCACCACCAGGAGAATATCTGAAGATGACCCAGGCCACCACCAGGAGAAGATCTGAAGATGACCCAGGCCACCAACAGGAGAAGATCTGAAGATGACCCAGGCCACCACCAGGAGAAGATCTGAAGATGACCCAGGCCACCACCAGGAGAAGACTATGTCATCTTGTCAACGGTGCTTTCTACATCATTGAGAATCAACCACCAGGAGAAGATCTGAAGATGACCCAGGCCACCACCAGGAGAAGATCTGAAGATGACCCAGGCCACCACCAGGAGAAGATCTGAAGATGACCCAGGCCACCACCAGGAGAATATCTGAAGAGGACCCAGGCTATCACCAGGAGTAGTTCTGAAGATGACCCAGGCTACCACCATGAGTAGATCTGAAGAGGACCCAGTCCGCCACCAGGAGTAGATCTGAAGATGACCCAGGCTACCACCAGGAGTAGATCTGAAGAGGGCCCAGGTCACCACCGGGAGAAGATCTGAAAAGGACTCATGCCATCAAGTATATTGCAGGACTATGGGCCCTGCATTGTATGTGATGTCAGTGGGCCTCCAACCACAGGAGGGAAGAGGCTGCAGGTGCTGTTTATGGAACCTGCAAAAGCAGGGTCAGGTAGGTTAAAAGTGCTTTTCCAGGTATCATAGACCTAAACGAGTGGTTAATCCTTGCAGTGTGGGAGGGGACCCACTTCCCAGGGAAGTTTTGTTTTCCTCCAGAGAAAAGATTTAAGCATACATAAATACCCGGTAACATGTCCTACTATTGTAATTATGAGGGTGTCCTCTCACCCTGTTGGATGTTCCATTATGTAAAACATAACAGGAGTGCCTCCTAAGACCCCGAGGTGACCAGGAACTCCCAAACTCAAAAAGGTGGCTGGGAAAAGAGCCCAAACTGCAACAGGAAAATAATCCCTTTAGAGTCCCCAAAACATATAAGTAGTCATGAGGCTATTCAGCCTAAAAGACTTTACACCTGTAGACTCTATACCTATAACCCAAAAATCACTTTTGGGTGGACTGTCCCTTTAAAAAAGGCAATCAATCCTTTAAATGCTGAGAAAAAGTGTCTGTTTCTTTGAAAACTCAGCAATTTTGACTCTTTTTCATGCCGTACAGTATTCTAAAGAATTAAGTGTAGTTTGCTGCTCTTCTACTCTTGTCAAACATTTGACTATTGTGTAGAAATAACAGACAGATATAATCTGAAGGAGGGAAAATTGACTAAAGAAGATGCTCACCATCTTCTTTATTCCAACAAACAGATGTAAACAAATATATTCAGCTGGCTAGTGCACAGAGAGAGAAAGCAAACACAAACCGGTTGTATGAAGCGTGACGGCTAATAAAATACAAGCTCAACATTCATTCGCTATCTGCATATAGAAGGCAACAGTATGCAGATATGCAAGTATTGGAAGGGGAGTGCAGATCTCTGGGTGGCTACATTCAGGTTATATGATGCATATTGACAGCCAGTGAAGGAGCAGCTTACCATATCTGCTGGGCCGCTCATTCTATGGACTGAGTTTAGAAATACATCAATAAACCATATTGGACCAGTAAGGGCTGACTTACACCTTTGCAGTATAGGAGTGTTGTATGCATGTTGTGTTATAAATGCGTAACCTATGAACTCCATGTAATGCACATTCTGATGAACCTGCATCAAAGTTGTCACAAGCAGGAGTTTTTTTTGACTGTGCTGCACCTGAACAGCATTGGTTTAAATCCCAGACGCATCTCGGTTCCATTCTGTTTTTGCGCATGTTTACGCTACGTAAATATACAGCTCCATACGCAGCTATGTGTATGGAGCCATTTATTTGCATATGCAACAATACGCACATACGCGCGTATATGCGTGGTAGTGTTAATGAGGCCTTAAAGAGGAACGTTACCCATATCTTCAATATAACAACAAACACACCTTTAGAAATGTTTAGTAATGACAATCTATAAACACATACGTGTAGAAAATTGCTGGCTTTTAATTTTTTGCATACCTTATTTTTCTTTTCTTTCCCAGATTTCTGACTGTGGCCATTTGAACTAAGGGCAGGTTACTATATCTCCCTTTACCTCCTGGAACTCTGGCACATGTGACTAGGACATGTGACCGTGCAAATCATCTCAGGGGAGAAAAATGCCTTTCCCTGAGATCTCATGAGATCACAGATGGCATTTCCCAGCAATGCCCTGCTGATGTAACCTTCCCTGGATGCAATGCTTGGGCACGATTACATAATTTGTGCAAAAGTGGACCAGGAAGTAGAAAAAAAGAAATTGTAAGTAAAATACA